TTTAGGCGAACTGATGATGTTTGATAAATGAGTGTGCGCGCACAGCTTCTTTGCAGAGGATGGGGGGGGAGCCCGGCCTGGCTGGGATGGTATGAATTCTAGACGTTTCGCATATCCCCAGTAGACCATCCAAGAACGATGTCCAGGCGAGTTGAGGTGATCAGGGCAGTGCGGGGGCAAAGAAGTTGACGGCCCAATCGTGCGAAGGAGGCAGGAGGAGAAGGAGGAGGCTGGATGTACGGATGAGGTAGTGGGGGGAAGGAGTATGAATAGGATGATAGTGATGGTGATGATGATGATGATGATGATGATGATGATGATGATGATGATGGTGATGATGCTGATGATGATGATGATGACGATGGTGATGATGATGACGATTCTGATTATGATGATGATGATGATGATGATGATGATGATGATGATGATGATGATGATGATAATGATGATGCTGATGATAATGAGGATAATAAGAAGGATAAGGAGGAGGAGGAGGAGGAGGAGCAGGAATATAACGATAAATAATAGGAGGAGGACGGAGTAGCCGGAGGAGGAGGGCAAGCAAAAGGGCTAGAGGTCTCTTGGATGCCTCTCGGAGCCTCTTGGAATATCTCTTGGGCGCCCGTCTGGGCGCCTCTTGGGGCGCTCTTGGGAGCTACGAAGGCGCTCTTGGGGCCATTTTGGAGGAGGTCGATCCACGAAGGGGGGTTCCTTAATTAGCCTCCCCCCCTCCAGGAGCGCCTTCTGGACCCCTCTTGGAAGGCTCCTGGGCGCTCTTGAGGCCGTCTTGGGGCTCTCTTTGGCCGCTCTTAGGGACTGAATGGGCCCTCTTGGAGCTGTTTTGAGGCCTCGGAAGGCCATCGGAAGCGAAAAAGGCGGGACGGCCAAATTCATTGATGGGCCTTACGTTTTTGAAGGATTTTGGCATGTTGGCGGCCTCTTTGGGAGGTTCCGTGGCTAGGCGGAGCCGTCTTTGGGGCGGTTTCGGGGCCTCTCGGAGCATGTTAGGAGCCATCTTGAGGAATGTGTGCACTCTTGGGCCATCTTGGAGGTCATTTTGGGCTCTCTGAGGCCCTTTGGAGCCATCTTGGGCCATCCATGTCCAGTCATTTTGGGCAATCTGGGCCCTCTTGGAGCCATCTCCAACTACCCGCGACCACCCCCTCCATGTCCAGTGTGGGGCTAATGGGGGATGGGTAAACCCCTCCCCGAAGGGGAAGAGGGAGGGGTGGAAGAGGAAACGCCCTAAACCACCTACGCCCAGAGGGCTGGTTGGATTCATGGGGAAATGAACTTGGAGGCATAATCTTGTTTACATTGCAGTGCGCGAGGCCAGCTCGATACGTGCAGGGGGTATAATTTCATTTTTGAAGACAGGATAATCGATGTGTTGCAAGATACGTTGTGCGATGTAGGTTGTGGAGTCTGTGTCGTGCGATTCCAGATGTGCAATCTGCGTGCTGCAATTTTGGCATTCTAGGTTGTGCACTCTACTCTAGATGTTGCAGTATTCGTTGTGCAGCATATGCGGTGCAATGTATGCCGTGCAATATATGTTGTGCGACCTATGTGGTGCAATCTATGTTGTGCTATCTATGTTGTGCAATCTATGTGGTGCAATGTGAATATTGCAATCTCTGTGGTGCCATCTGTGCGGTGCAGTCAAGTTTGAAACAAACTTTGATTTGCCAAGTCCATTGCGCGCGCAACCATCAACCCACCCACCCCCAACTTGGTTTGCAGAACCCACTCGGCGGCGATTGCGATGAGAGCTTGGTGCTGGCTGGTGCATCTGCAGCCGCGCTAGCCCGCGCATGCTCGCGCGCGCACCGGCCAGCTTGTTCGCCGCGACCGACGCGACCGTGGTGGCCCTGACTTTTTGGCACTTCCCAGCGCGTCCCGCAGGCCTCGCTGAGTCGCGGGCAATTCACTGCGAGTCGACAACTTTGGTGGGCGCGGTAATAGGCCGACGTCGACAACAGTAGACACGATAATGATAATAGCGATGATGGTGACGATGGTGGCGATGTCAGCGGCAAGTCCAATAACGGCGCCGATTTTGATCACGCCGGTGACGATGATGGTGTCCTTGTGTCGGTGATGAAGGTTCTGGAGAGATTTCGGCATGCGGCGCGGCCGACGCGCGCGAGTGGCCCGCACAGGAGTATTTAACAAGGACCGTGCTCCCCCTGCACGCGAGCACGAGGCGTTCGGATGATTTCGACATTCGCGCGAGAAGCCCGTTGGGTCGAATTTGCTGAATATGTTTGAAAACTACCGTATGTTTTTGTTTCATTGATTTTCGGGGTGCTCGGCTTTTAATCCTTACGAAACATATGGCTTGTAACGGATTCCGGCATGCGCGCGCGACGACGCGCACGTGTGCACTTCGTCCCAGTTGTTGCCGGGGGCATTTGAAGGCTGATGTTTTTTGATAACCGAGTGTTCGCGCATCGTGTTTTTGCAGGATTTCGTGGGTGTGGCGATACTGGCCTGGTTGGGATGGTATGAATTTATTTTTAAGATGGACGATATGGCAGAATCATGTGTAAATTGCAATACAAAAATGCGGGCGGATAGTGGGGGTGGGTGGTGATCGTAATTTGTTTTGATGCGCAGGAATTTTATGCTGCGCAAGCTATGCGAGGCGGTGATGGGGCGGCGACGGCGGCAGCATAACCACCAGACCGGCGCACACACACCCAGACGTCGGGCGGCGACGAGGCGGCGGTGGGGCGGCGACGGCGGCAACCCCAGCTGCCGAACCGACGCGCAGCCCCAGACGTCGGGCGGCGACAAGGCGGCGACGGGGCGGCGACGGCGGCAACATAGACGCCAGATCGACGCACGGCCCCGGACGTTGGGCGGCGACGAGCGCCCCGGCGGCGACGAGCGCCCCGGCGGCGACGGCGGCAACATAGCCGCTCAACCGACGCACAGGCCCAGTTCATCATAACAGAAGTTGGTGCTTTTGGATTCCCAGGTCCCCATCTACTTCGAGCTCCGTCCTACTTCAGGAGCCGATCTGCTTTGGCTGTGTTTTATTGTTCTTTGGGATGGCCTGAACCTATTTTTTTGTCCGCCTTCCTTCTTCATTTTTATTTCCATTTAATTGGTCCGACCAGCGTGTACGTATATGTATGTGTACTTTATATATATATATATATATATATATATATATATATATATATATATATAATATATATATATATTATATAAGATCGCTTCGCTCATTCCGCCGGCCCGTATTGTGCCATCGCGGGGTCTTGGGGGGTCTTGGGAGCCCTTGGAAGCTTCGTGGGAGCTTCTTGGGAACTTTGGGAGGCCTCGTGGATGGCTCTGGGTGGGCCCTCTTGGTGGTCTCTTGGGGGGGTCTGCCTGGCCTCTTGGGGGCCTCCTGGGAGCTTCCTGGGGGTCTCTTGGGGGCCTCTTGGGGCTTTCTTGCGGCCTGTTGGGGGCCTCTTGGGGCTCTCTTGGGGGCTTCGTGGGGCTACTTGGGGGCTTGTAGGGGCATTTCGGGGGCGTGTTTGGGCGGGGGCTCAACATTTCCGTTCAGGTTGCCCCTGTGGACCTCAATCATGGGGCCGTCTTGGGGCCTCTTGGACCGTCTTGAGGGTTTCTTGGGCCTTCTTGGAGCGCTCTTGGGCCGTCTTTGAGCGGTCTTGAGGGTCTCTCGGGCCGTCTTGGGGTGATCTTGGGGGCCTCTTGGACCGCCTTGAAAGGTGTGAAAGACGAAGAGGCGGATATGTTAAAAATGCACGTTTTCCTAAGGGAATGGGACGATTTTTGCTAGTGGGAGCCCTCTTGGGACGCCGCTTAGGGACCTCTTAGGGACCTCTTGGGGCGTCTTGAAGGCCTGTTGGGCCGTCTTGAGGCCATCGTAGGCGTTTGGGAGTGATATTTCGGCGTCTCCCGGCTCTCTTGGACCGTCTGGAGGGCTTCTCGGGCCCCTCTTGGACCGATTTGGAGCCCTCCTGGGCTCCGAAAAAGAGTTCTTGAGGGTTTCTTGGGCCTTCTTGGAGCGCTCTTGGGCCGTCTTTGAGCGGTCTTGAGGGTCTCTCGGGCCGTCTTGGGGTGATCTTGGGGGCCTCTTGGACCGCCTTGAAAGGTGTGAAAGACGAAGAGGCGGATATGTTAAAAATGCACGTTTTCCTAAGGGAATGGGACGATTTTTGCTCGTGGGAGCCCTCTTGGGGCGCCGCTTAGGGACCTCTTGGGGTGTCTTGAAGGCATGTTGGGCCGTCTTGAGACCATCGCAGGCGTTTGGGAGTGATATTTCGGCGTCTCCCGGCTCTCTTGGACCGTCTGGAGGGCTTTTCGGGCCTCTCTTGGACCGTTTGGAGCCCTCCTGGGCTCCGAAAAGGGACCTTGCTGGGAGTCTGCCGGGAGTCTGCCGGGACCTTGCCGGGAGTCTGCCGGGACCTTGCCGGGACCTTGCCGGGGTACTTTTCGTCCGGGGACCCCCAGGGTCCGCCCCGCGCGCGCGAATTAGAAATATTGTTGAGCAGTTACCGGAGATCTTAGCACGCCTCTGGCCCGTTGGGCCGGCGAAGTTATACGTATGCAGACACACACACACACATACATATATAAGTTCATACATGGCAGTACAGATGTGCAGGTTACATTCTTTATAGTGTATTATATTTACATATATAGATCTATGTAGCTATATATACACACGGGTGCCGCCGCTCGTTCTGGAAAACCCTTGTCGCCGCCGCGGCCAGGTGCTCTTCGGAACGTTCCCCGGGAGGTCTGGCGAGTACAGCAGGCTCGGGTGGTCGACGTGGCGGCGACCTTGCCGCGGGCGTTCTCGGCCGAGCGCCGCCAGCGGCGCAGAATCGGCCAGCCCGGAACGATCTGGTGAGCGAGAATCCGCCGATCGCTCAAGGTGGAACGATCCACGTGGTGTCAGAAGCCAACGCCCAGGTCGGAGGTCGTCACGACACGAACCTGCCGCAGTCGTGTCGGTGTCTTTTGTCGCCCTTGCCCTCGAGGCGAGGCAGCGGCAGGAGGCGCTGCGCCGCTGCCAGGAGTTCGAGCGCGAGCTGCTGGAGGAGCGCCGCCGCAGCGTCGAGCTTGTGGTCGTGGCGCAGCAGGTGCCGAGGGCAGCGAGGGGGGGGCACGGTCAAGGCGCTGAAAGAAGGACCACTTTGGGCTCAGGAGGGGCTCGGGTCTTCGGGTCGTTCCTGAGATCTAGCTCGGGGATCCCGTTTGTGGCCCAGGCCCGCCGTGGCCAGAAAAGCCTCCTCGATCGCTACTTGGCGTTCCCTCTGGTAGCGCGCTGACTGCAGGCTCAGGGGAAGGTGCATCGACCCCCAATCGCCCATTGATCGCCGGCAGGGGCCTGATGGGCGGCCACCCCGCCAAGGATACATTTTTGGCCTCCAGCGGCCGTTCGGGACGATCTGGGCACTCCCAGAACGCCATCGGCCAGGTGCGGCCGCCAGCAGGCATCCCGAGGCTGGACAGCCGCCAGGCAACACCGAAAACGCCCGAATACCTCACGAACTCCGACCCTTCGAACGCCCCCCCCCCTTGGGCCTCCAGTGCCCCCCCCCTGGCGTTCCCCCTCGAGGTGGAGCGCCGGTGCCTGGAGTCGGAGCAGCGGGCCCGCGACGCCGAGCGCCGCTTGGCCGAGTCCAAGGCAATGATGGCGGAGGAGGTGGGGTCCGTGCGGGAGGAGCCGCGCGGTGGAGGAGGAGGAGGAGGCGGCGGAGGAGGAGGAGGCGCAGGAGGAGGAGGAGGAGGAGGAGGAGGAGGAGGAGGACGAGGAGGGGGGGAGGAGGAGGGGGAGGGGGAGGGGGAGGGGGAGGGGAGGAGGAGGAGGAGGAGGAGGAGGAGGAGGAGGAGGAGGAGGAGGAGGAGGAGGAGGAGGAGGAGGAGGAGGAGGAGGAGGAGGAGGAGGAGGAGGAGGAGGAGGAGGAGGAGGAGGAGAGAGGAGGAGGGAGGAGGAGAGGAGGAGGAGGAGGAGGAGAGAGAGGAGGAGGAGGAGGAGGAGGAGGAGGAGGAGGAGGAGGAGGAGGAGGAGGAGGAGGAGGAGGAGGAGGAGGAGGAGGAGGAGGAGGAGGAGGAGAGGAGAGGAGGAGGAGGGAGGAGGAGGAGGAGGAGGAGGAGGAGGAGGAGGAGGGGAGGAGGAGGAGGAGGAGGAGGGGAGGGAGGAGGAGGAGGAGGAGGAGGAGGAGGAGGAGGAGGAGGAGGAGGAGGGAGGAGGAGGAGGAGGAGGAGGAGGAGGAGGAGGAGGAGGAGGAGGAGGAGGAGGAGGAGGAGGAGGAGGAGGGAGGAGGAGGAGGAGGAGGAGGGGAGGGGGGAGGAGGAGGGGAGGAGGAGGAGGAGGGAGGAGGAGGGGCAGGGAGGAGGAGGAGGAGGAGGAGGAGGAGGAGGAGGAGAGGAAGGAGGAGGAGGAGGAGGAGGAGGAGGGGAGGAGGAGGAGGGGAGGAGGAGGGGGAGGGGGAGGGGGAGGAGCCGCGTGGTGTGCGGGGGCGTTTTTTCCCCAACCATCCTGTCGTGTTGGGTAGAGAGTGCTCCGCGTCTCCTCTCCTCTCCTCCACCCCCCTCCTCTCATCTACGCCTCTGCCCTCCGCAGCCTCATCGTCACCACCATCCTCCTCCTCCTCCTCCTCCTCCTCCTCCTCCTCCTCCGCCAGAACAAACCTCACAAGGCTGGCGATCCGGCTATTCGGCGATTTGGCGAACCGGCGATCCGTCGACCTGGCGACCCGGCGACCCATCGACCCAGCGATTTGACGATTTAGCGATTTGGCAATTTGGCGATCCGGCGATCCGGCGATCTCTAGAGAATCCAAGGAGAGGCCTCAGAGCGGGAGCGGGAGGCCCCAAGGCGTTCCAGGACGGCCCCGATGACCCCAACGTGGCCCAAGATGAGCTCAAGACGGCAAGTACACACAGCCCAAGAGGCCTCCAAGAGGCCCCAAGAGAGCTCCGAGAGACGTCTCCAGAGAGCCCGAAGAGGCCCAAATCCTTGATTTCAGTTGTTTTTAAACATGTTTTCCGCTTTCTCGCGTTCTCGAGCTTCAACGCTCCAAGGCGGCCGAAGACGCCCCCAAGACCCTCCCACGACATCCGAAGAGACCCCCAAAGAAACCCCAAGACTGCAGAGAGCCCGAAAATTATCCAGGAGGAACCTCAGACGGCTCAAGAGGCCCCAGGACAGGCCCAAGATAGGCCACACAGCGGGAGCGGGAGGCCCTAGGGCGCTCGAAGACGGCCCAGATGGCCCCAACGTGGCTCCAGATGGGCCCAACGTGGCAAATAAATACAGCCCAAGAGGCCTCCAAGAGGCCCCAAGAAAGCTCCAAGAGGCGTCCCGAGAGAGCCCGAAGAGGCCCAATCCTTGATTTTCCGTAGTTCTTCAATGTTTTCCGCTTTCTCGCGTTCTCGAGTGTCCAACGCTCCAACGCGGCCGAAGACGCCCCGAAGATCGCCCCACGACCGCCGAAGAGGCCCCCAAAGAGCCCCAAGACGGCCCGAGAGAGCCTGAAGACTGCCCAAGAGCCTACAAGAAGGGGTGTGTCTATTTCTGCGCTCGTTTTCCATGGTACTTGTAAGGTGCAGGCAGATCATTGGGGGGCATTCCCTGATTTTGTCGTTGCGCTATTGTAGAACTCCCTTGGTAGAGTCCTTGGCGGCGGCGGCGTTGACGACGGCGGCGACGACGAAGAGCACCGTGGCAGCGGCGACGGTGAAGGCGATGCCGACTACGGTACGATGAACGCGGCGACAGCGACGAGTACAATGACGACGCGACGACGACTACGGCGACGGTGGCGGGGACGATGGGGGCAGGGGCGATCACAACGACGGTGACGACGGCAGCGGCGGCGACTGCGATGGTGATGGCGACGACGACAGCGACGACGATCACTACCGCTGCGGCGGCGACGGGGGCGACGTCGATTCCATATGTAGACCCTATGTCAGACCTGTGTGGAATCCGGCGACGGGAGGGAAGGACAGGGGGAAGATAATGGGAAGGTAGCGGGGAGGACGGGGACGAGGTAGAGGACAAGGAAAACGACCACGCAACGACAACGACGCCATCATCGGAAGCGGCAGCGGCGACGGCGGCAACGACGATCAAGATGACAGCGGCGCGTGCGGCGACGATGTCAACGACGACGACGACGATAACGCCGGCGGCGTTGGCGGCGCCGGCGACGACGACAACGACGACGGCCATGCCGAGGACAATGGCGACGACGATGGCGGCGAGAGCGGCGTCGGTGGCGACGGCGACGACGAGGACCGCAGCGGCTTCGGCAGCGGCGGCAGCGGCGGCCGCGACGACGTCTGTTTCGGCGGCGGCGACGACGAGGACAGCGGTGATGATGACGACGACGACGAAGACGACGACGGCGGAGACGACGACCACGGTTACGATGTCAACGACGCGACGACGACGACGATGGCGACGACGACGATGGCGACGAGGAAGCACCTCCGGCGCTGCAGCTGGGACCCAAGGGTGTCGAAACGCCGAATAAGAAAACTCTTAATCGATGCTCACACAGGCCTGGCGTTCGCTTTTTGGGGCGCTCGGCTTCGTCAGCTGTTGGCAAGGTGCTGCTATCGACTAACGCGCCTGGCGAGGCGATGGTCCCTGCGGGCCATCTGCCAGAGGAGGACGAGTGGAGACAACGGCAATTAGTGGGCCTTTGAGTGGCCCTCTCTCAGCGAAGGGCAAGTCGAGGGACGTTGAATTCTATGCTTTCGGGCGTTTTCGATAGTTCCCGGCGGTACTCCAACCTCGGGATCTCTTCCAGCAGTTGCGTCTCGCCGAGGGCGTTCTGGAGGTGTTTTTCGCGAAAGGCCGCCGGGGGCCCGAGTTATGGCCCGAAAACCACCAGAGACAACGTTGGAGGGCACTGCCAAAGGAAGGCGAGTGGTGACAGCGGTAGTTGGCCTTCGGGACGTCCGTTCGTCGCCGCAGTAGGGGTCCGGAAACTGATTTTGGGTTGCCGTTGTCTCAACTCCCACTGCTCGGAACCTGACAGTGAAAGCCGAGACCCCTGACGACAGATGGTGCGTCCAGTGGACGAAGAGGTACCAATACCGCTACCCTTCCTCTATCGCACCTGCAGCTGGTGTCGCCTCGAAGTCCTGGTCGGACTTACGCACCAGGAGAGGTCCGTGGAGTAGCTGTATGGGCACGGTCGGACCGAGGTTCAAGATCGCGGTCGGTTCGGGGAGGGTGCTCTCCTGTTCTTCGTGTTTGTCGGATGTGCTTGTGTATGTTGGGGCGGGTACCGTTGGCTGTTTTGCGTGCGTTGGCTGGCGGAGGGCCTCATGTTCTGGAAGGCTGCTCTTTTGTGCAGTGGAGACCCATGCCAAGAAGCACCCTGCTTGCCTTCAGGGTGCCTTAGTTTTCTTGGGTTTCGATGGTTTTGCTATGGAACGCGTGACGTTCCAACAAAAAATCAATGGGCGGCCTGGGGTCTCAGGGTTGGTCGGACTGTGGAAGGCCTTGTGGACCGGCCCAAGGGGGCCCCGAAAACGCCCAGGAAGGGATCTGCGAACCCAAAGAAGGCCCCAACGGCCCACAACAGCGCCCCAAGAGAACCCAACAAATACCCCCAAGGGCACCCAGGGACATCGAAAAAAGAAGTGTGGGGGAAAAGACAAAAGGGGTGGAGAGGGGAGGGGGGAGGGGGGAGAGGGGGGGCATTCCAGGTACACGCTGACTGGGGGGAGAGCGACCTGCTGCCGCCATCTCGTTCCCATTCCCCTGACGATGGGAACGGGGAGCACCGTGGGAGAGGGGGCAAGAGGGCCCCGAGCAGGCCCCATGAAAGCTCAGGAGGGGCCCCAAGAGGGCCTCAAAGGGGCCAGGAGAACGCCCTCCGCAGCCATTTTGGCACGAGATCTTGCTGGCCTTCAGTTCCGGCGCTGCCATCATGGCGGATCTAGTAGACGCAACGCCGGTCTTCCGTCGGGGGCGCCAAAGAGGGGGGTGATGACTAGGGGGAGGTGGATATCATGGCGGAGGCCATGATATTTCCCCAGATTTCATGGCGCCCCTTCTTACTTCATTGCGTCCCTGGCCCCCCCGCTGGGCCGCGCACGTGCCGCCGGTCATGATTTGCACCCCCCCCTCTTAGACACCCCCCTCTAAACCGCTGCCGATTCCGCAGCGGCCGCTAGGCGCGCGTGTGCTGCTTCGTGGTCGTGCACGTATCGTGCTGTGCCTGCCTCGTGCTGCTGCAGGGCGCGCTGCTCAAGCACGACCTGCGCGCTGTCCTCGACCTTCAGCGCAGGCCTGCAGCAGTGGGTTGGCGAGGGCTTGGACCGGCGAGCCGATGGAGGCCACGGCTCGCATTTCTGGTGAGCTGGCGGGGTTCCGTGTCGGCACTTGTAGCCCCCTGCGTGATCCAACGATGCCTTCGGAGCGCTTCGGGAAAGTCCTCGACGACAGACGCTGGCACGGGAAGTCCCCAGTGCCCGACGCTGAGAGGCAGCTTCTTCTGATGATGCACATGCGGAAAGCGGGCGGAATGACGTTGAGGCACTGGCTTCATACCGCGCGCGCTATTCAGAAAAACGCAACTGGTTGCGCTTGGGAAAGAGAGGGGGCGTCTAGCAACAAACACTTTTACTTCGAATGCCTTGCTGGCCCGAGAGCTAAGATTACAATCGCTGGACCTTGCTATCATTAGCATACGAGAA